CATGTTGTGAAAGAGAGACAGGTGAGAGACATGCAGAGGTGAGAGATGCTGAGTGACAGAGAGGTGAGACAGATTGTGTTACTGGACCTCCAGCAGTCACGTTAGGACAGCGCTTGCCTGACGGTGTGTGTGTGTGAGTGCAAATATGCTTGTGTTTGAGGGTCAAAGGTTTCCGGCGGAGAGATTTTCTACCGAAGGCCATCGTTTATTCTTGTTTGAACTGAAGTTTACAATGCAGTGATATGTAGTTATTGGTACGTATTTCGCGTCTCGCTAAAAAGTGCCCCCAGGTACATTTATGCCATGAGACCAGGTAGGAAGTTTATGTGCTGTAAAGTGCCATCAGGTTGCAAACTGAGGTTGGAAAGTATGAATATTGTGAGAAGAAATGTGCTTCTGTCATACTTTGTCAAACCTAAAATCTATTGGAAACAACTTTACACTGGAAAAAATAGGTCTGTCTACAGTAAAACATCTAAACCTTCTTAATATTAAGATATATTTACGATTTTTTTTTTTCAGAAAACAAGACGTATTAAAATGAAGTGACTTTATGCTTAAAAGAAGAGCGAATATCTGCCAGAAAAATTAACTTTAGAGAAGAAATGTGCTCAGTATTTTTGTTTTGTTGTTTCAGTGAAACATCTAAATATTCTTAAATCAAGATACACTTACTTGAGAAGCAACAGTTTCAGAAAACAAGACTCTATATCTTATCAAAATTACGAGACTTTATGCTTAAAACCCTTTCAGTTACGTTTATTTTTCTGACTTCATTGGCAGATATTTTTTTCTTGTTTTAAGTGTAAACTCACTTAATTTTTAAGTGACCAGAAAACAAGACATAATACTTGACGTCTCTTTGCATTTGAAATAAAATTCTTGATTTAAGAATGTTTAGATGTTTTTACTGGAAAACAAGACAAAAATACTAAAAAGTGTTTTTAAAAATAATAGTATAAATAGTAAATAGTATTTTTTTATTTGATTTAAATAATTTAAAAAGTACATTTAAGTAACTTTGTCTCAAATGTTTCTCTTATATCTCCTTAAAAGAAATAAAACAAACAAAACAAAACAAGTCACAAGTGAATTAGTAATTTTTGTACAGTAAGAGTATAGAGCTATAAAATGAATGTGAATCATTTAATGAGAAATATTTGAGTTCACTAGATACAAATGAGATAATAAAGAGATGACATTGGTGATTTTCTTTGGTGGAGCTCCGGTTACTAGAAAAGCCAGTTGAGGTTCTTCTGAGTGTGAGTGTTAATTGCTAGTGTTAAATTAGCATGACAATTATTGTCAACCCAGAATCGTGAGAGGCTGGAGTTCATCCCGTGCGATCCCAATGATCTCCCTCGTTGCGAGCTGTCGACAAGCTGCGAAGCGTTTGGAGTAAATGTCAGACATGAATAACTCATGCACACAGCTCGACTTTCACAAAGACGCCGTGCTGGTCTGTTAGGACTCTCTCCATCCAGCAGGAAGAGAGAAAAGAGTGTGAAGAAGACTTCCTGGAGAGATGGAGAGAGAGATAAGGGGAGGATGTGCTGGAGGAGGGGTGTGAAAGAATTTAGCTCTGATATGTGATCCCGTAAAGCAGCTGATAAGAACGCGTGCTCATTTAGTGGTAATGATTAGCTCTGGTCGCTTAACCCCAGAGATCCACACAGGCCGATGACCCTCTCCCGCTATCTCTCAATTCAGTTTCCGTTTAATGTACTTTATTGGCATGACAAAATGTGTTAGATTGGCTTAGCTGCATATGTTAGTGCAACAATGGTATATAATATTTGTGCAAATATATTATGTATATTAAAGTGAATATCAAATATTAACGTATATAGTAATGTATACACTTCTGTTCAAAAGAAGGAGTTCTTTTGAAAGAAATAAGAGTTTTATTTAGCAAGGATGCATTAAATTGTTTAATGTAGAATGATTTTGGATCATGTGACACTGTAGACTGGAGTACTAGTACATATTAGTACCTAAAAGGTACAAAAGTGTACCTTTTGTAAAGAAACCACGCTAGTGACAGCTTTTGTACCTTTTTTTTGGAGAGTGCACACACATACGTTGGTATTGGTGGTTTACAGTGACTCTCTATAGGCATAATGTTTTTTATACTGTACAAATTGTATTTTCTATTGCCCTACACCTAAACCTTTCCCCTCACAGAAAACTGTGCATTTTTAGAATAAAAAACACACACAAAAAAAAACACACCATTTAGTATGTTTTTAAGTCTTTTGAATTACGGGGACACAGGCAGTATCCTCTAGGGCTAGGTAAAAAATATCGATATCTCGATATTAATCGATTCTCATTTTTAAGGAACGATATTGATTCTTAAATCCTAAGAATCGATTATTCTAGCCTGTTTTCAGTTAATGGATGGAACATTGAAGCGTAACTCCCATCCAATATATCGATGCCGTTTTGGCGCAGTTCAATATGAAGTGACATCGCTGTAGCGCTTCAGTTCAACAGACGCGGCAGCGCGAGGCGCACGTGAACTGATCATCTCCTCCACATTAATACCAGCCTCAGCACAAAATAAACATGACTAAACATCCGAAGGTAAGTTAAAAGAAGCTGTCCACCAATGTTTACCATCCAACCTGACAGAACTGGAGAGGATCTGCACGGAGGAATGGCAGAGGATCCCCAAATCGAGGTGTGAAAAACTTGTTGCATCTTTCCCAATAAGACTCATGGCTGTATTAGATCAAATGGGTGCTTCTACTAAATACTGAGCAAAGGGTCTGATTACTTAGGACCATGTGATATTTCAGTTTTTTTTTTTTAATAAATCTGCAAAAATGTCAACAATTCTGTGTTTTTCTGTCAATATGGGGTGCTGTGTGTACATTAATGAGGAAAAAAAATTAACTTAAATGATTTTAGCAAATGGCTGCAATATAACAAAGAGTGAAAAATTTAAGGGGGTCTGAATACTTTCCGTACCCACTGTATGTCATACCCATGTCATTACACAAATTTGTGTCCTCATGACAACATGCCACCCGTCCATACCATGTTATATGTAACTATTTTAAACAACCTTGTTATTAGCATTCTTAAAGTGAGCCGTAATTTGACCTCAAAAGAACACCATAAACATAGTTCAACGCTAAAACATGTTTTCAAGAGAGAATCGCCTTTGATTCTGCTCTTTAACCTTGAACTAAACTTAATACGTCTGTTAAACGGCTTTTAAACCTTAAATGATCCATTTACTGTAGTCGTCAAGTGTTTGCTTAAGAGAGACGTCTGATGTTTTTCCTCACAAAAAGACTCGTTTGCTTTATAGAGATCAGATGAGATCTCAAGAATGGCTCAAACTTGTTCAGATTTGCCGAAGTTTGCAATCAAAACTCTCCTGAGCCAAAAAAAAGCAACATATGAGCACTACAGTTTGTTTGAGTTGATCCGTCTTAACAAGCTAAAGCAAACGTGATGTCGAGTGTTTTGTAAAACACGCGGCGCTGAGCTGATTTATAGGACTGCTGTAAAACAAACAATGATATGATATTGAAGTCATAGATGCGGGGGGTGGGGGGGTACATGTGTTACACGGTTTGACCTTTGACCTCGAATAAAAGAGGCAGGTGAAACGATTCCCAGCCCGTAAGTACATCAGTTCGTAGCATTACTGGTGGAAGGCAACACATTTTTATGCAAGTGAAACCATGGAGATATTTAACGCAGATTTGTAGACAGGAAGTTGAATTTTAATTAATTGGTTTGAAAGGTAGGAATGAGAATTTTTATTCTTGTTAGGAGTTGAAGGTTTTTAAATAATCTTCTCGTTTTGTTGATAAACAACAGCGAACAAGCATTGTATCGCTAACTGTATTGATGTGTCTTGGTGTTTCATGTTCATAATGCAAATGTTGACTGGTGTTTTATCAGTTTCTCTGTTCGTGTACATGAAACGTCTCTTTTAAGTGATCTAGACGGTCCTCTTACGCCAAAATGTGGCACTATTCAGGTTAGTTTGTGTTTTGTCTGAACATTCAACTTGAGTATTTATATCCATTGCATGAATCTCTCTCAAAAAAATGACTTTACATACGAGCGCAAAGACGTCAATATAACGGCTTCTAAACAATGTCACGTAACGTCACATTTACCTCAGAAAAACATATTCGGTGACCATAAACTCATTAGTCAGATAGAAAAATAAACTGTAGAGAGGGGCATTTTGCTTAATATATGCACCATATGACATATTCATTATAATTTTTTACTGTTCTTCAATGTTTAAATTTATGTTTGAATAAATCCATCAAGTTTGTTATGACAGCCACCATTTAAATGTTTATATTAAGAAAAAAAACGAATTGAAGTACGTTAGAAATATTAATATGTAACTGTGGGGGGGTACATGTGTTACACGGTTTGACCTTTGACCTCGAATAAAAGAGGCAGGTGAAACGATTCCCAGCCCGTAAGTACATCAGTTCGTAGCATTACTGGTGGAAGGCAACACATTTTTATGCAAGTGAAACCATGGAGATATTTAACGCAGATTTGTAGACAGGAAGTTGAATTTTAATTAATTGGTTTGAAAGGTAGGAATGAGAATTTTTATTCTTGTTAGGAGTTGAAGGTTTTTAAATAATCTTCTCGTTTTGTTGATAAACAACAGCGAACAAGCATTGTATCGCTAACTGTATTGATGTGTCTTGGTGTTTCATGTTCATAATGCAAATGTTGACTGGTGTTTTATCAGTTTCTCTGTTCGTGTACATGAAACGTCTCTTTTAAGTGATCTAGACGGTCCTCTTACGCCAAAATGTGGCACTATTCAGGTTAGTTTGTGTTTTGTCTGAACATTCAACTTGAGTATTTATATCCATTGCATGAATCTCTCTCAAAAAAATGACTTTACATACGAGGAAACAGTCAAAACACAGATAGTGTCTTTTTCCTCTAGCAAGTCTGTGAATAGTGTCTCATATGTCCATGTTTGTGTCTGTTTCTTTCAGAGCAACGAAAGAAGTACTCAAACTCGAACGTCATCATGCAAGAGACGTCACAATATCATGTGCAGGTGAGCGAGACTCTAAACTTTTTGTCTTGGGTCTTTTAATTCTGTTTCTTCTCTCTAAGCTTGTTGATTAGCTGAACCTCACCACTGAGTGTTTGGTTTAATATTTAACACGATCCAACTGATGACTTGATATTGTAAAAAAGCAGTCAGGTCACTTGATCACTGCCGAGTTAACCTCCAACTGAACTGATAAAGCAATCTGCATTCTGAAATCTGCATTATACAACGGATAGTCACAGTCCTCAAATTTGACTGGCCAAAATGCAGTGATGCATTTTATGCAACGCAACCTGAAAGAACCCAGCAGAACAAGCGAATTAGCCATGCACAAGTACGTCATCATTGTGCTAATCAAACGACACTTTGATCCAGGCCTGACTCTAGACGTTCTGTTGAACTTTGTTCTGATCTGGATGCATCATTTTGCTTGGTCTATTTTTCCACACTTTCACCCTTCACTCATTATAAAGACTATATCATCTCTCTTATCTCCTTTTCTCGCTCTCAAACACGCATAAAGTTGATAAATGCCCTTGCCAGCAGCAGTCATATAAGGTCTTGAATGCTTATACACTTGAGATTTTAGAAGCATCATGCCACAGAAATCTGGGTTTAGGCACGCAAGACTTTTAATATTTTTGGTTTAATAATTAATGTGAATATTATTCTGAGAATTGGTCAAAAGAGCCTAAAGATCTGTAGGATGTCTCGAAAGTGGTGTTCAATATTTGATTTTTACATTTTCCGTAGAAAATATCTTGTAGAACTCACTGCCAAGATGCTGAGGTTCCCTGGGTTGTTTTTAAAGGTATTTCTAGGAGGTTGCTAGGGTGTTTAGGTAGTTTAAAGGCAATGCTAGGATGTTTGAGTGTTTTAAGGGCATTGCTAGATGGTTTGATAAGGTATTTGAGTGGTTTTAGGCCATTGCGAAGATGTTTGAGTGGTTTTTAGGTAAATTCTAGGTGGTTGCTAGGGTGTTTTAAGTGTTTAAGGGCAATTCTAAGTGGTTTCTAGGGTTTTTGAGTGGTTTTAGGTCAATTTTAGGGTGTTTGGGTGGTTTTAGGGCAAGTCGGAGTAGTTGCTAGCGTGTCTGAGTGGTTTTAGTGAAGTGAAGTGACGTGTGGCCAATTATGGTGACCCATACTCGGAATTTGTGCTCTGCATTTAACCCATCCAAGTGCACACACACCCGGAGCAGTGGGCAGCCATATTGCTGCGGTGCCCGGGGAGCAGTCGGGGGTTCGGTGCCTTGCTCAAGGGTCTCACCTCAGTCGAGGTATTGAGGCTGGAAGAGAGTGCTGTACATTCACTCCCCCCACCGACAATCCCTGCCGGACCGGAGACTCAAACCCAACCTTTGGGTTACAAGTCCGACTCTCTAACCATTACGCCATGACTGCCCCACTTTAGGGCATTGCTAGGTGTTTGCAAGGCTGTTTTTTGTGGTTTAAGGGCAATTCTAGGTGGTTGCTAGGGTGTTTGAGTGGTTTAAGGGCGTTGCTAGGGTGATTGGGTGGTTTTAGGGCGTTGCTAGGGTGTTTGGGTGGTTTTAGGGCAAGTCTGAGTAGTTGCTAGGGTGTTTGAGTGGTTTTAGGGCATTGCTAGGTGCTTGCTAGGTGGTTTGAGTGTTTTTGGGCATTACCACGGTGTTTTGGTGGTTCTTAATAAAAATAAGTTTCTCTGCTAAATTTAAAACCCACTGAAGAACCTTGTATATACTGTTTATACTGGTCTGTTTTGAAGTCCATCACCTCAGACCAACGATCTGAAGTGATTCCCATTAGCTCGAGTTTAAACAGCTCCATGGAAACCACTGACCTACTCTCTCAAACAGATTGTACTGTATGTGTGCAAACATCGACAACCATCCCAACACAAGCAAAGTTAAACTTTCTTTTTGTGCAGTTGAAAGTTGGTTGACTACATCCTTTTGAAGTCTTTCCACCTTCCGGGTAGAGTCTGATCAAGACGTGTTAAACGTGTTTTTGGTTGGATTGTCTGGTTAATCCACAGCAGCCAGGCTGAGATCTCCTTCCCTTACATAACTAGTGACAAGACTTAATCTGCTTATGAATCATGCATAATGCTTTGAATAATTTGTTCTTTTTGATGGGATCACTTTTTGTCACATAGTATTGTGACACGTAAACGCACACCCACCAACCAACACACACACACACACAGAGAGAGGTGTGGTTAAAGTGCTGAAGTGGATATAAAAATCATATTTATTTTATAAGGAGGCGTGTGCTAACATTACTCACTCAGTCAAAATGACAATCAATTATTTTATGAGCAACACCCAATGACATTCAGAAAGAGAAAATATGTAGGTTTATTTATTCACCTGATTATCTACTACTGAAAAATCACAAGTAATATCTCTTTAATATCTCCTTTTCTCCTAGAATGCAATGGAATTAAATGGAAAGAAACTCAAATCGGTTTAGTTTTTGTAGTCGGCACAGGAAAAAAACAAAAAAACAAAAAAAAAAACACATTGCGTTTACAAACCCAATCCAAACCACAGTTAAAATCTGATTTTTTGGAATGAGCCTAAATGGTCATTTGGGATGCAAAACATTTAAAAGTGTGCCATATTGTCTGGAACTGTCTAAATGCACTCATTTTTGCTTTCTCTTTCCACATATAGTGAATTGTGAGACATTTACTGTATAGAGAATATTGAATAACTGAGCAAGTCAACAGTTTTGCGCATTTTATGCAGTGATATGCATGAATGCTTAAAAAAAGGTTACTTATGTTCCCTCAAGTTCCTCAATTTCCATTTTCCTTTATTTTTCAGTTGTTGTATATGAAACGCTCTGAAATCATTACTATAGCACTAATATATCTTATTTAATGCACATACAACTGACAGTGCCACAATCCATCCTAAAGATGTGAAATGTGAAAACTGAATCGTATTTGTTTGCATTGTTCTAGCAATGACCTTACGCACTTGTTTGTGTGTTTGCAGCACCTGTCTACGTTCATCATGGATAAATCTGAGTCCATTGCTACAGTAGACGACGCAATTAAGAAGCTGAAGCTGCTGGACTCCAAAGACAAAATCTGGACACAGGAAATGCTGCTGCAGGTGACGGACAAATCCATCAAACTCCTGGACTCCGAAACCAAGGTGAGCAGGATCTTTCCTTGTGTGCACACAAAGGTAAAAAAATAGACTTTCGTAAAGTCAATATTAAATCAAAATTGACATTATTTACTTTCTTAATCCATGGTCCTATTCTTATTGTGAATGATTCATTGGTGTATGTTATTGCAAAGAACATATTTTTTGTCTTTGTAATCATTCATCATAGGCCACGTTCACACAGCAGCAGAATACAGTTGTCAGTCATGTATTTGAGTCCTTAATAAAAAGTTACGTTAACACACAGTATGGTAATTTATGGGCGTTACAACCGCATTGTTACCGAACTCACACCTGTAAATTTTCAGGACTCATAACATCATACAGTGCGAGAAAAAGCTGCTCTGCTGCACAAACGCTTGTTTACCATGTGTCGCCTGTTTTCATGGTTTCGATAACTTACAGTGACGGAGAAATGAGCTGTGTGTCATCTGAAAGTTTTAGATCCAGTCAGTTTTTCTCCACCGGAGCCGCTCCAGTCAGCGCACGACTCAAATGCTTCTCTCTCCTCCCAAATATAAGCTGCTCTAGGTTAATGAAGATTTGACAGATGAACACACGGCTCGATTGGTCTCTTGTTTTGTCAGAAAGACTTTGTTTTTTCACTTTTCAATGATCTTTGACCTCATTAATGATTAAGGATGTCGCCATCTTTGATATTACTTTAGTCACTGTTGCTATGGTTACTGGTAAGGAATAGGGGCTTGACTCCTGTTGCACGTTTATACAGACAGTATCCGAGAAGCTACTGTAAGTTGCTGTGTGAGCGGGACATTTCGAGACTCACACCTGTAAGTAAAATGCGGTTGTCAGTGCCAGTGTGAACATAACCATAATGTACTGTCGCTTTTCCACTGATGTCGTCTAGGCCATGTCTTTTCAAGCAATTCTGGCCCATTTTTTTCCATTGAAAATTCTGTATGATACTGGATTGACATGTTTTTACTAATTCAAAACCAATTTGCGTCTTAAATGTTCAGTAAAAAAAAATACATATTAAATAAAACAAATATTAAATATTAAACAAATAAACACACTTGAGATCATGGAAATGAGAACCGATTGAAGACATTAGCATGTTCCACAACTGTTCATTGAACAAAGTCTCCTCTAACCCTATGGCCTAGTTAAATCTGATCTGATCTGGAATAACTGGATAGGGAGCGTTTCGTCCGTGTGCATCGATTGTGATTGTGCCGCCATTACTCTGGTAATATGTGACCATAAATGCCAACATTACTAGATCTTTGACCTCATTAATGATTATAATCATTGTTTTCAGGGTCGAAGGTTGTGAGCGTCTTTTGTTTTTTCATATTTACAGAAATTATTTCATTTTAAAATTATTTCATTTTAATTTATTTGTTGAGAGTTTCATTAAAATAAAATAAAATATTTCTGAGAAACATTAACATTTCCAAGTAAATTCATTTATGTTTTGGAAATCAGGTTTGTTTATGTACTTCATGTGTTTATATACTATATTAATCTTTTTCGCTTTTCTTTTTTTTTTACATTTAAAATTTCACATTTAATATACAGTATACATTTACTTGAACTACATTATCTTTTTTTTTTGGTCTATTTTGTTAACAATCATTTTAGGGTTAGGTGATATTGAAGTTCAGTCTAATTTCCCTTTCTTTATCTCAGGAAGAGCTTGAAATCTTTCCTCTGGCCACAGTCCATCACTGTCAGACGCTGTTGAACCAGACCAGATATCCATCCATCCTTCTGCTCGTCTGTCAGGACAGTGAACAACACAAACCAGACATTCACTTCTTCTACTGCGACGAAGTGGAGGTGAGACCACTTTATCAACCTGTGTGAATTTCATCTCTATAATCTCCCAGAAATAACTGAATGATGAACAAAAAGTTTACAAAAAATGGACCTTTACACCCCTGCAGGATAAGCACTACCGAGAGCTGCTTTCACTGGAACTGTGTGTGTGGTTGTGTTTTAGGCAGAGATGGTGCACGCTGACATTGATAGCGCTCTGGGAGACAACACATGCGGCAAGAAGATGCGACCGCAGACGCTAAAGTGAGTCCCAGCTCTCATAGACACCAACAAATGCTACTGGAGTGGTTTTTAAATAACTAATTACTAGCCAGAATGACTGACACCAAGTTTCACAACACTTCTACCCACTGAACACACTGTATATCTACTGACGTCCGTAACAGGATCAGCAGATAGTACAGCCACATTTACTTTAAGGTTGTGTGTAATAGTTGTTCATTTATTTAAGGATGCTACAGTGTCAGCACTGGGCTTTGGTCACATGCACACTTGTGTTTTATAACCGGTGGGATTTTCTTCCTGAAAAACCAGTTCCAGGGTCATCAGAGATAGTAGACTGTACAGCTATTCACACACACATTAGCTCCATTCCATACCCTAGTCAGCTGCCTTGCTCTCTACTTAGGCAGCTTAACTGAAATGCAACCTTGTGACTAATGAGAAGCGCACAGGAGAGGTGATTCACAATTTCACAATTGATTTCAATAGTTTGTTAGAGTTAGCATGTTGCTAAGCTAACAAAACAATTCACATAAAATAGGCAAATACTGAGTAAAATAGTAAATTAATTAGATCAAACAATTGACACATTTTAACATTGATTTAGTTCTATATAAATCAACATTGCCCGCATTCTCCACCACCTGAGCTCATCACAATGCATTAAGGGTTTGTCTCTGCAAATTATACATGCTGGAAAGGCAAAGCCTATAATTTGGCCAAAATGAGCTATCATTAAAGGCTAGGGTGTTTAGGCAGTTTTAGGCCATTGCTAAGGGGTTCCTCTGATGTTTAACCCCATAAAGTCTACTGTATCATATTTGATACACACATTCCTCTAAATGATCAATATGACCAAAACCTTGCTGAAAAACACTACATGCCTTCTATTGTCTGATTGATAGTTTATACTTTTCTAGCAAGTAAAAGGCCTTTTAGTATAATTGTAAAAACATCCTCCTTGAGGTTGTAGTACACAAGTCTTTTTACTGACTTTTATTAAGCAAGCTTGAGAATAACTTTGATATTGTTAGTAGTATTTCAAGATGAACACTTACTGGACTTAAGTAACTTGATTAGTTACTTTGATTATCTATACCTCATCTTTTAGAAAAATCATGCTCAAATGAGAGTTCAAATACGATCCATCAGGCTTTTGATGAATGTTCATCTCTCAATTGTCATTGTATTGCATTGTTTTACACATATAAACAAACTACAGAGCTTTGATCATTGAAGCATTTTAATATCATCTTACTGAGACATTTTTGGGAGATATAGAGTGACAACTGATATTTATAAGCATTTTATATAAGTAGTCTGCTATACTCTTAAAAAAATGTCATTGATTTACATTACAAGCTATTAGAATTTGATCTTTTTTGGGCATATAAATAGAAACTGCACCAAATTGCATATTTTTGCTCAGTTTGGGCCTCTGAATAAAACAGAGGTGTTTTTCCTCCATGAGTATGAGCTCCATATTCTCACTATATCATAACCGCATGATGTATCAAATATGATGCTCAACAAAAACACATATGTAGCCTTCTTTTCGATTATTTTATATTTTGTCTTAAGGGCACTTCTAGGTGGTTGTTGGGGTGTTTGAGTGGTTTTAGGGTATTGCTAGGTGGTTGTAAAGGTGTTGCTAGTCAGTTTTTAGTTAGATTAAACCAACTTGGATTATTTTTAGTGTTGAATGAACTGTTTATAATCAACATTGCCCGCATTGTCCTCCATCTGAGCTCATTACAATTTTCATTACACAAAGATAGCCTTCTCAACAAATAATACATGCTGAGAAGGGTAATTTTGGCCAAATTATAAACTTAGCCAAAATTACCCATCTTTAAAGTTGCTGACTAATATAAGTAGGCTACTAATTAAGTTTTGGAGCACATGAATTCTCTCTCTCATTTCTCCATCAGAATGAACCAAGAAAAGATGAAACACCACCGGGAGAGCATCATCCCGGCCTCTGAGCCTAGAAGTCCTGGCCCTGGGGTCAAAGGTCGCGTAGCAGCTACAGACATGAAAGGTGCCAAACACACATACACAAAACACTTATGTACTTACATTTACAATAAATGCATTGATCTTAAATACTCTTCGTTTTTGTCTCAGATGAATTGTCGATGCAGGACCCCGAGTCCAATATGAAACTGGCCCAACGGATCGAGAAGGACGTGGTGAGTGCCTGAATAACACTGCATATCTCCACACAAACACAAACACACACACACACACACACACTCAAGCATTGAGTGTATCAGATTCGCGGTTACATCAGACCAGGCGTAACGCTGTAACTCAGGCCGTGTGTTTTCACTCTGTTTGTCATTCAGCAAATCCTGAACTGCGCTCTAGATGACATCGAGATCTTTGTTGCACGTCTTCATAAAGTGGCAGAGGCTTTTGCGCAACTTAACCAGCGCAACAGGAGCAAGAAAAACAAGAAAAGAGGCCCGGCAGGTACATATGCATTTGATTTAACACATCTTTAATTTATTCCTTTGATAAATCACTTATTAGCTAGTTTATATTTAGGAAAACAACAAATGTTTAAATACATTTACATGCTTCGCTAAACAAACATGATTGTCGTGTGTGTTTCAGAGGGAATGCTAACGCTACGAGCTAAACCTCCATCAGAAGGCGAGTTTATCGACTGTCTTCAGAAGCTGAAACTCTCTTTCAATCTGCTGGTGGGTTTCGCTCTCTCTCGTTGTTTCTAAACTGAAAACGCCCTTAAACAAAAATACACAATGTTTTAACTCATGCAAAACTGCTGTGGTTTAAGATCATCTGGTATGTGTGCACTCGAATTCAAACATTACAACATGCTGGAAGAAACAATAGCAAATTTCAAAATGTTGATTTTAGTTCAAGTGAAAATGTAAGAATTGTTTTACGAATAAAATACACAAATTTATTCTGCTCAGTTTCATGAAAGAGAATGTGAGCGAGTGAAGTGTGTTGATGGTCTGTGTGCGCCCTCCACAGGCCAAACTGAAGAAACACATCCAGAACCCCAGCGCTGCAGAGCTCGTGCACTTCCTGTTTGGACCTCTGGAACTGGTGAGGAACTGAACACATGCACAAAATAAAAACACACCATGAACCTCTATTGGTTAATTACGGAACAGAAATTTAGGAATAGAGTTTCATCAGACTAAATAAATGCTAATATCACCACTAAAAAAAGAACTTTTTGGATTTAATAAAAAAGTAAAAGGTAATTAAAAATGCAAATAGAAGTATAAATAATCCTGAATAGATAGATAAACATTGGCAACGAAATGCTCTTGTAAATGATAGTAGCACAATAATGTATTGTTCCACCAAGAAATATATTAGTAGTAGAAGTAATAATAATAATCATCATCACCACCATCATCAGTATCCTGTTTGGTATAATAACAGAATGCAATGGTGTATAACAGTTATTTTGCAATGGCTCATTCAGGCCTCATCCAATCATAATGTGTACACTGTACACAGCTCTCGATTATAAAAACACTTGCGTGAATTCAGATATTGCAGAGTTGTGGCAGTCCTGAGCTGCCGCGTGTGGTCATCTCTCCTCACCTGTCCCGGGACGCAGTGGACTTCCTGAGAGGACACCTGACTCCCAAAGAGATGACCATCTTTGAGCTGCTGGGAGACTGTTGGACACGGCCCAGGTGATGAGTCAACCGCTGTGGATGTGTTACAGGAGTGTGTGTTAGTGGCAAACCGATACATCGAGCTGCGTAATCAGCCAATGTTTGGTGAAAAGTTTTTATTTTAGCAGTTTTGACTAATGAACAACCAATTTAAGTTTTTTTTAATGGCTGATATTATTATTATTATTATTATTATTATATGAAGTATTATGGGATATATTTAATGTTATCGCTCTAGAATGAATGAATGAATAAATAAATTCTCTTGATTAGCATCAGTCATGGAAAAATGCATGTATGTTTTACTATGTTGTTTAATTCTGGGTGTGTCTTTGTGCATCTTAGAGCTGATTGGCCGAAAGATCAGTGCGCTCCTCTCTATGTCCCAAAGTTCCGGAACGGCTGGGAGCCGCCGGTGGAACTGTTCCGCTCGTCACCGTGGGAGACGGAGAGCGCCGGTGCACCGGTGCAGACAGAATACAGACCGAAAGAGGTGAGAGAGATGAATCGGCGTTAAAACACACCGTCACGATCTCCTCTGTGTGAAAATCTCTTCTCTGTATTAAATGCATTTCATCTTTTCCCTCTTTTCCATGTCAGTTCTTTGGATCGCAGTCATCGCTCTCTTCAAACGGGTGAGTGAGTTGTCAGATCTGTATCTCAGTAACTTTGAGGTTTTAAACTGTAGTAAACATTAGAAAAAAGGCACTTCTTGTGTTTATTTTTTGGCTGGTCATGTTTTTTTTTTCAGGTCTTTCTCGACGTCTCCTGCTTCTCGCAAGTATGCAAAGATCCGCTACCACTTTGTGGCACGTAATGCAAACGAGCTGTCGGTGCTTCAGGATGAAGTTCTGGAGGTATGAAGAATGTGGAAAAAAAAAAAATCACATTTAACAGTGCTTCTCAAAGACAGCAATGAGATTAAATTGAGCTCTCATGGAGTTTTCACTCAAGTCTCCTGCGAAAATAGTAATTTCATATGTTTCCTCTAAGGTTTCTCAAATTGTGCCAACAAACCAAAGTCTCAATAGTCAGAGATCTCATTATGAACTCAGACATTTGTCATCAAATTCCCAAAAGATGAGCTAATCTGAGCTGCCATGCCCATTCATTTTATAGCTTGATAGCACTTGCAAAATTGAGTGCAATACAAGTTGTGTTGAGTTGTGTTATGAAAGAAAGAACTAACCACTGTGTGTTTTAAGGTGTTGGAGGATGATAAGCAGTGGTGGAAGTTGAGGAACCGAAGCGGACAGGCGGGATATGTGCCCTATAATATCCTGGATGTGGTAAAACTGGAGGATCCTCATGCTTTTATTGACCCGCCATACAGTCCAGGAGCACCTTATAGTCCGGTAAACACATGTACACACTATAAAGCAGCAAAAAACAAGACGTTTTTGATCATTAAAAATACTAATTAATTATGATTTTGTCTTCCTGCCACTCTCATGCAGTCATACCGAGGACAGTCGCCCTCCAGCTCACTGGGCAGTGACAAAGACAAAAGTGAGTTTGAGACAAATATGAGCAGATGGTTCTGGATCAGAAAACATCTGAAAGTGTGTATTTGACGTGTTTCTCCATCACTGTTCTCAGGTCACTCTCAACAGATGGACAAAGTGAACGATGAGCTGCTCATGTTGATCACCGGTAATAAGATTCAACAGCCTGCGAGGAACTTTAAAGTGGTGCGTCAGTCTGCTGTTCCGCTGACCTTTGACTCCAACCTGGCCGAGGTCACCAACTGGCTCAATGCCAAGGGCTTCTCCAAACCGTGAGTCAAATAAATTGCTTTTACAGAGAACTCCTTGAGTCTTCTAAAGTAGGTGTTAATATATATATTTTACTGATAACTCAATCTTAAGCTATGAAAAAATATTAAAATAAAAAGAATGTATTTGTGACGAGAGGGGCGGGGCCGAGAGCCGTGGGAACGGAGCGAGGCCGGTGGAGGAATTGCTAATGCGCGACACCTGCGCCACTCACCGGTCTCGAGTCTCACGGAGGAGCTCCAGAAGGATAAAAAGGAGGAGGGACGACCGTGAAAGACGAGAGAGGACCAGGCCTGGAGTTTATTTTGTATTTTGTGTGCGGCAGTCGTCCGCGAGGGGCTGCCGCTTTACTTTCATTTTGTGTTTGTTTATTTTATTAAAGTTTGTTTAAATGTCCGCCGGTTCCCGCCTCCTTCTTCCCG